TAATCAATTGGAAATAGGTTCGATTAGATTGGGCAATACGTGCATATTTGAGGTCCTTCGTAAACGCATAAATATCATCATAATCTAGGGATGTATTATAGTCGCCGCCAAGCAGGAGTAGGGATATAGCCTATGCAATCTTGAAGGCAACTCCAGACTCCAGACCCTTTTGCCTTTTTGCAACAAGGCTGATGGGTTCCCTCCTAAATTCCAAGCATCTTGATATACGACATGGATATCATACGGACGAGACAAATACAATCTAATCTGCAAGACGCAACCGGGGATATAATAGACAATCGTAATAACTTCCTTAGGAACGAATGCAACTCTTATCATTACTAAAATTAAAGCATGCCTATCAATTCCATGAACTATATACCACTATTTCGTATTCCATTCATTGGTCATTCGCCATCCATTTTCTTGGGCAATACTAATATCGTATGGGGAATAATTATCTCATTAAATCTAATTATCGTAGTGCAACGCTCTAGAGGCGTTCCATTGTAGCGCTCGAACGATGCCTGCAGGCGGTAGGGCCACGATAGAGCAGGGAGCCTAAAATGAGCCTAAAATGCATATCGATATCATTAGGACCAGAGATGTTTAATGGGAACATTGCAAGAAATAATAGGCGATGCCTATATATAGCCATGCCAATATACCCTAATAAATAATATCTTTAAATAACTATATTTATTCCGAAATTAAACTAAGCCTAACGATATCCATTCCTCGTAATGCTTCGCCATAGCATCGCGACGAAACGACGCCAACAAATACCTTTTATTTATTCCTAAAAATAAATAAACAATCCTATTTCGATTTAAATAAATCCATAATACCTAAATTTCATATTTAATTACAATCAAATATAAATATATAACTAACATATTATAAATTTATCAATATTTAATCACAAAGAAAATAGAATTAATCTATTCAATTTTAAATCAAAAAATAACATAATCGTAACAAATCATCAAATTATATTTTTGAATTATTTATTATAGTATAAAAAATCATTATATATGTATTTATAGAAACAACAAGAGACTTGATTTGGATGCCACAGTATGGCATCCTCGTGCATCTATTCCATTTCGACCTGAACAGCACGTGACATGATACATGGAATCTATTCAATGGAATGCCCACCTTTGTGAACTGCCACAAACCTATTTCGCCGCCGACCAGGTACTCCAATTCATCGTCGGCCTTGTCCACTATGTGCCAGACCGATGGGCGTGGATCTCATATTTCCGAGACCGTATATATATGCATTGCATGAAAATCCATGGCTTCAACTTGCCACCTTAGATAAAGTCTTGTGCAACGTAGCCTCGGCTCTTTTTACAGATAGGAGCATTCGGACTGAGACGCATCCCCGAAATGTCGAACGACCTGGAAATGCTGCCGGGCGATCAATCGTACACGGATCTCCTAGCAGTCTTTCCTCAAAAGACCGCGAACGGCCACCATTTGGTGGCCGAACACAGAATGGCCGGGAGCGCTCCAACAGACACTCGGATTCCTTGGACACCAGGTCCACCAGCTCTGGCAAGACAGACGAACTGATCCAGATGGTGGCTCGACTATGCTTGCGTCAAGAGGACCAGATGAATGCATTGAATTTGGATCGATCGTTCTTGCTGTTTGTCCAATGTGGACGCGGCAACTTGATGCCCCTGATGATCGAAACCTCCATACAATAGAACCAACAGAAACAAGCCGGGGAGGTTCACCAATCTCTTCGCCAGACCTTGTTTCAGACCTTCATCCAGGAATTGATTAATCGTGCGGGGAAGCTCAAACTCGAGCAAAAAGACGACGAGAACACCTTGATGACCAAGGGAATTCTCACAGAGGATCATCGATGGCAATACTTGGCATGGGATGCCAAAGCTCAGACATTGCGTCCGACGAAGCAGACACCGATATGCTCGCAAGAATTATGTCAGGTTTTGCAGAGGATTCATTGCTTGAGCAAAAACCCCAATCTAGTGCACCGCTTTGCAGCCCTTCGACCGTTGAAGAAGGACTCCATGCCTCAAGAGGCCACAATGGCCATTCTGTAGAAGTTCGACATCTCGCTCAGGTCAGACGAGACCAATGAGCTGTTCGACCATATCCAAAAGCTCGTGGGGAATGGAATCATTCAGCTAGCACTGGTAAGGATCCTTCAACGGTCGTATTCGCCGTCGCCATCTCCCAGAAGCTCCGGAAGTAATACACTGGTTGAGGACGAATGCCCTATATTCCAATAAAGCCATATATTATTTGAACAATGTGGTACAAACTCAGATGTCGCTTATCATGACAGCTAATTTCATTTGTGAATGATGGGAGGTATGGATTGATTCGATTGCTCGTCTGCTCATCATTGCAGGCTCTAAGGCCATCGATCTATGCAGCAATGACTTCCTTGGAATTCAATTGGCCGCATGGTTTGACTCTCACTCACCCCTAGCACAACATGATGTTAGGAAATTTGCCGGATGGCTTAGGGACATGGCCATTGAACAAAATTATTTCTCTTTGACTCCATGCACCCTTACAATTGGGAAACCAAATTCCCCATAACCACTAAAAATAGAGGCACGATACATGCCCCCATAGTCCTTTGTAACCTTTCTTCCGAGCATATATAATTGCAATCACTCATCAATATTGCGCTTTATTCTCCTTATACATCCGTTTACACATGCCATTAATTGCAAGAATACTTATACTATTATGTAGAATCATATTAAGGATATTTTACCGATTTTCATAATCCCGAATAGAATAATTATAACTTAGTGCCCATATAATGTAATTGCAAAGACCATATATTTTAAATATAACTTAGCAAAAACAATTGCCGTGCAAAATATTTACATTCCGGAATACCTTTTTTAATTAATTCCGATAATTAAAAATTATACCTTATAGCGACGTCCTTTTCCGCCAATTAAATTTATAATTATATTTATTATAATTCAATATCTTACAAACCAAATCATTTCGATTCGTACAAATTAAAACCATAACTATTTTCGTTAAAAAATAAAACATTTTCAATTAAGTAACTCTCCCGCAATCCAACACGGACAAATTAACATTTATTAAACGAAAATATAATTACATATTTATTTATAAATATTCTTTAAATTTCATATAAATACTCTTATTATCTTTCATTTATATATAAATAATTCTATATTTATATTTATTTATTTAAATTTATATCTATATATTTTCATTTTATATATATATAATTATATTTAACGTTTATAAATATATTTTATTTACGATCCAATACGAAAATTAAAAATAAACGTCCGACGAAAATCATTATTATCACCCTAATCCATTACGTTATCATACAATCCTCGTAATTAAAATCCGGCGAATAATACTACCATATAATCCTCGGAATTAAACTACAATAAATATTAACACTAGATCCTCGCAATCAAAATCCGACGAATATCATTACCAACCGAAATTCGCGATTAAAAACGACGCGACAACGAAGAAGAAAAAAACAAGCCGATTATAAAATAATATACTAAATATTACAAAAAAGAACATTTTTTCTTTATTGTTATATTATATTATATTATATTATGTTATATACATTAAAATTACAGGGCGCGCACAACAATAACAACGGTCGAAACGGTCTCGCCAAAGATAAACAAGGCCACCCGATAGTGGTTTGCACCCCAAAAGAAGTTTGTTGATCCGATGACTTGGATCCATTTCGGGACAGGTGGTTGGATGTAAGCCGTGGTTTGGTGTAAACGGTAAGTGGTTGGAATAAATTGTTGTGGTGTAGTCGGTGGTTGGTGTAAACTGTGGCTTGGTGTCAACGGCGGTGCGTATAAAGGTATTAGCCTCGCAGAGGCGTTAACGGTGGTTGGTGTAAAACGTGGTCCGGTGGTTGGTGTAAAACGTGGTGTCAGATCTATATCCGATGCACTCCAACAGCAAATCCAGATCCGAGCAGTAGCAGTGGATGCGCTGCGCGCATGCAGATCTAAGCCGTTGATTCGAGAATTTGTTGACTCACGGTCCGCGTTGCCGATGTTCTCTCAGACCAAATGATCCGCTCCAAATAAGATCCATGTCTATATTGAAAAATCAATTCCAAGGGGGGGTTGGATTGAAAATTCAATTCTCGGGGGCAGGCGGGCGGGGGTTGAATTGAACTATCAATTATTAGACCCGGAGGAGCCCACACTTGCTTCGCAAGACAAACTCAAGTTATCCCCCTGAGGGCTACCGATATATTGTTATCACATTTTATCATTAATCGAATTCTTCATCAATTCATCCAATGAATTCAACCTGATCGCTTCAAAGAACAACAAAAGCAAGTCATTGCCCAGGAAAGAGATCTTCATGGTCTTCCGGTCCTCGCGCCTATGCCCAACTGTCGGCCACCCGTCGAGATGGATCTTGTGGCCTGGCAGGAGGTGAGTTTGGCGCGAGCACCGACACAACATGCGAACAGACGAGCTGCCTATCGGCAGGACATATGGATCCTTGAAGCAAATGGTGTTTCAGTTGACATGTTAATGCAGGTTGCCAGATTCTACAAGTACCATTTCTATGCACAACTCCTCTTGGGCTCCAGTTTTTGAGCGGTTTGAGTAGAAGACATCGAGGCGGATTTGGCGACAGCGCGCTGGCACGCCCATGGAGCGCCAATCTCGACGAGGCCACTTCGCAGCAGAGACAAAGGCCTCAGAGACAAAGGCGACAGCGCCAAACTAGGCCCAGGCCGGGCAGGCCTTACACCTATCAACGAGCCGGCTCGATTTTTCACTACTTCTGAGATGACATCTGGACTACTTGTTGATGAAATGGCCTTTCTAGTTGTGTGATGTCTCATCGTCCAATGTCTCTGGTTTTGCTGCTGTCCTTTCTGGGCACCAGTGCAAACATTAAGATCAAATGAGTGACCGCAATTTTCATGCAAACGAATCTGTCACTGGAAAGAGTTGACTCTGAAGATGGTTCCCCAGCATTCTCCGAGAGGTATAGTACACTTCAGAGTTCTTAGAAGCAGTCAAACACAATCTCTATTGTATCATCATGAGGCAGTTTCGGCAAGCAGGTCCCTTTTTTCAGACGGATGCACGCCGGGAAGATTCCAGCATCATGCCGGGAAGAGACCACCACCACTTGCCCTCCCCAGACGGCACATGTCGCATGCCACTTCTCCGCTTCTCAGAGCCTTGCAGACGGCTGGGCTGTACTGATAGCGTGGTAGTTGCTTCTGTCGCCCAACGACCCTGCATTTCTTCATGCCATCGCACTTCTCCATGCAAACTATGCCATCCACAGAGTGTCCGGGCCATCCTTGGAGTGTCTGGTTCACCACGACCTCTTTTTCGCTTGGCTCCACTGGATTCAGCTTCGCCTCCACGCTCTCCTCGTCGCCGGCGACGATCCTCATGTTTCCAAGAGCAAATGGGCTGCGATCAAGGCGCCCAGCTCTCGGCATCGCAGCTGGCCACGCTCATCCAAGACTTTGGCCTCCAACAACTTGGAGTTGCTTCCGCTGGGAACAATCAGAACAAATCTTCCCAGAATGGGATTTTGGATCTCTTGGGGAAAACACACATGCTTGGAAGGCGTCGCATGCTGGTCGGGAAGATCGAGCGCAATTTGCGCGCTGTGAGCGTGAGCGGTCGCGTGGATCAGGGCTCTATCGATCAGGGCTCCTACCCCCTGAACTCTTGTGGAGGGGGGGGGCGCCCTGAATGGATGGTTGGTGAACACATGGTGAACACCAAATCCTTTTTTCATATAAAAGAACCAATGAAAGCTCGTGAAACCAAGGGCCTACGCTGCCACCCATCCCCATCGATCAACTGTCCAAGTATCACCCGACTTCCTCCTCCACGTCCAAAACTCGGAAGCAGATTGGGCATGTCACTGGTTCTGGGGCGCCGGGTGGGGTGATCATTTGCACTACCTAAAAGCTTTCCCAAAAGGACCTTGATTGCTTGGCGAATCTTCACAAGATCCATTCATCCATATTCATCCCTGTTATCTTGCTACTACCTGCCACATCTTCCGCACCGCCAAGTCTTTTTCCCACGTGCGCAGCCCGCACCTGTGCCACATCCCTGGCACTTTGCGCGCCGCTCCGCATCACCACAGGCTCGGCCACGGGCCTCAAGCGCCAGCCACGGCAGATGCGCTCCAGCTGTGCGGCCGCACCAAAGCCATCGCTGCCAGCGCTGATGGCCAAGGCATAAGGGCGGCCATTCAGGCGCCCTTGGGCGCCGTAGTAGCAGCGGTCGAAGAACTCCTTCCTGAAGGCATTCGCAACACTAGTTTTTTTTGAAGGACTCGATCGAGACTCGATCTGGAGGGTCTACAGGCGTACTCTGTCTCGATCCGGGGGATGGACCATGGAGAACAACGGTGGGCCATCTTCACCCCATGTTTCACCGTCCAGGTGAACAACCCTCCGCCTTGGTTTCGCCTTGGTGCTCATGGAAGTTGGACCAAATCAAAAAAAACATATATATAAATATATAAATCAAATGGATTTACCATCGGTTCAACCCAAAAATCCCAAACCAAGGAACCAAGCATGATTTTCTCGCAGAAAATAGACCTTCTTAGCAACTTCTTAGCGAGCCAGAGCTGGCTTCAACTCACAAAATATGATTCAGTGGTGGAAACGCATCCCAAGTAAAGGTTGAATTTGAACATAAAACACATCTGAACCCATCTTTCTGAGATGGATTTTCCTTGTTAGGCCAAATCATGGCCAAAGCACATTTCTCCACTCACGGTGGCCAAATTCTCGGGTGCACAGAACAGAAAGCCATCAGCTGAGAGCAAATCAAAGACCTGCGGGCGCAAGGCGCAAACACACATCCTCTTAGCACATTGTGCGTGCAAGAGGCCAGACATGTATGACGTGTGACGTGGCCATCCTCATGGTCTTGATCCATCTTGATCCACTCAAATGATCGTTGTACGTCTCTCAGAGGGCCCAAGAATGCATAAACTTGGCGTCTCGCTTCTCCTAAAGACTACTAAGGACTCCCTATAGCACTCGATTCTTTTCATTCCTTTTCTCACCTGTGCATCTTGCGCACGTCGCAGGTCCACTGCCAAGTCCCACGCAGTCGCTTCCATGTCATGGATCGCATCGTGAGCGCCAGTTCGTAGGCTCTCAGCCATTTGCTCGGCCATGCCAGTGCGAGAATGCCTCTGGCGTAGTGCAGCGGAGAAAACGGAGCTCTGAAATTGGGATCTACACTCTGATGAACACATGGAAGTGGATGGCATGGCCCCAGTGAAGGCCATTTTCCTCTACCAACAGGTGGTTGTCCATTTCCATGTGATGTGTTCGTCGGAGTGGTTTCCACGGCCAGCCTTGAGGTGTTCAACCCATGTTTGATCGTCCGAAGGTCTTGGAATGCTTCCACTCTGATTCTGATTCAACCCCCCCAAACCCATTGGAAAGGTTGTAAACAAAAGTGACTGAAAAATACACATTGCCTCATCTATGCTCCACAAATTTGTGGATTCAGGATTCAAGCTTAGTTCTTCCCAGCGGACACTTCCATTTGAAGCCATGCTTGAAGTCCCATGCTGCTTCATTCGTCACGACGCCCTTGGCCTCTGAGGAGGGCTTCACCCGACCCAAGCGTTGGGACGCGGATCCCGCGAAGCCTTTCTTCGACCGAAGGGGCCAGACCACCAGCAGTCGCCGCTTCGCGAACTCCAGAGGCCGCGGATGCACTTGGAGCAACCCAGAAGGGTCGGACCGAACACAGAACCGGCGCATGCCGGTGGCGCCGTGGGTAGCGCGCGGAGCACCGGAGGACAGCCCGAGCCTGCGTTGGGGAAGATCTGTTTGCGCCTCGCACATGAAGAACCTGACATGGACTGATTTTCAATGATTCTCAGACTTCACATGGACTGGTTGTTTCTTCCGGCCGCCCCTTTTTTTGGGAAAAGTGCTGCGTCGAAGCTTCCGGGATGGGTTCGAGACCCGGTGCATGGCGCGGACCCTGGTTTTCTACCGGGTGCATGATGTCCTTCCAACCTCTAAAGGAATGAGGCACCTGTCTGTCTGTTAACTTGATGAGAATCCAAGTGGCGCCTTTCTCTTTTTAGGGGCACCCACCTTTTTTCGGCGTGATCAGGTGTGTCAGCGAAGTGCTGCTCTCCACTCCGCTTCCTTTGATGGTCCAATGCCTTCCTTCACTTGGGGAGACACACATCCCAAGAAACCATTACCCCGATGAAGATCGGTAGCCAAAAGGCTTGACCAGAGTTCCTCCTGAGAAAGATAGAGCTAGTGAGGGCTTAGCGGACATACCAATAGCTTTCTGACCTTCAATCTTGCAAATTAATTTTCTCAATTTGTTTCAGTTCTCCAGGTTCATCAACAGCTGTGATCCAAACTCCAATGACCTACATGATCAGGACCTGATAATGACTTCGCGGGCTGTGATACAGTTCCCCTTTCATATAAACCATCATGAACCTTGCCAATGAAAAACGTTGCTCAGGTGACTTACGTATGCCCAGGCGGTCATCCTAAGCTGCCGGGCACGAGGTGTGACCAAGGCGGGCGATTTGGCCTCACAGCGGCCTCGGTGTGACCTGAGCAGTTCACCCGGGCTGCCCGGCGCAGCGGTGGAATTGGGACGTGTTTCGTTCAACTCATTCGGAGGGTCCCGGTGTCGGCGAGCTGGATGGGTACTGGGAGGTTTCACTAGTTGGAGTCGTTGGATGGTTGGTGTGGTTCATAGGCTGTCAACAACCCCCTCACCCATGGTCAGTCAGCCCTGGAGAAGGACTTTACACAGTGTGCCCTGTGGTGTTGGTGGTGCTTTGGAAAGTCACGCTGTCGTTCCAACTTCGTCGCCTGTTTTTGGGCGCAAGTCGACCGCCCCGCTAGCGGGATCATCTCCCGCTCTGCGTTTCTCTTGCTGTTCGTGTCGTTCCACTGCGGTTTATCGTGGTCCCCAAATGAATAGAAAAGTAGATCCCCACTAAACATGTATTGGACACCGTTTTTATCTATATTGGGGATCACTAGCTAACCGCGGTAAGACATGGCTCCAGCAACTTGGCGCAAACCGGTCCAAGGCCTGGACATCAAGGGCTCTGCAAAGCCCTGTGCGCGGCCACAGGTTGGCCACAGTTGGAGCGCTTGAGAAAGCGGGTGTGACCAGCCAGCTGCTACAACTCCCGGAATGCAGGCACGAGAGTGCCACTTGCTCGGTTTGACAGAACATGGACACCCAGCCCGAATCCAGGTGTTGCGAAGTGTCCTCCTCAGGACAAACCGTTCTTTCTTTTGCTGGAACTTTACCGTCTACTCTCATGCTGATGCATTAAGTTTCGTAGCCATTCGTAGCCCACATAGCTGCCTGGAATTGGAGGGATTGAGCTTTCCGAACCGGGCGCGCTTGCGCCCAGGATCGACAGTTCTCACAACACATCCGGTTCGCCAAACAAATCAAGTCCCATTGGTAATTCATCTTCAGCTTCATTGAACTATGCCAACAGCAAGGCAAAGCTGTCTGTAGAAACCAAACAGATCCGGGGAAGCATTGATGACATCCTTTGGGGCCCTGGAGGTCGATTGAAGCCAGACCACGCGATGTTTTCGGGACGAAAACATGCAATCTAATCCTTGACGAGCAGAGCTCCCGACAAGAAGAACCTGAGAAACTCTCCATTTCCTTTGATAGCCACCAGGTCACCTGCTTTATGAACAGGTCACCTGCTTTATAAAGAGAAACGATCTACATTGAGAGTCAAGACCGTCCTCGTATTGACCACGCTGTCCGAGTTCCAGAAATTCAGCGGCTGAGGTCATCAGAACGGCTGGTCTCTCTTTGTCTCCGGAGCCTCCTCGTTTTGGTTCCGAAGGTTGCCCATCTTCAGCACTCCTCGCGGGGCGTTCTCTCGTTCTCGTGAAATCAGGTCGAGAACGAAGAAGAAGACGATGTCGAAGCGAAGCGAAGCGGTTGGATTTGGGTGAACGCCTCAGGTTAATAGAAGCTATTCTGGTTTGAGATGCTGTATTGATGGTTGATGCAGGTTGATGTCTTCAGTCTATCCTTCACCAGAATGTGCTCATGGCTTTGACAGACTGTCTCTTTTCTTTTGACTGGTTTCATATAGGCGGAATTAAAAACAGATCGCATTGATTCAAGCGTTCAAGCATGTTCAAGCACACATCCACAAGAACCAAAGGACACATTCATGGAATCTTGCACCTCAAGGTCTAACAAAGCTTGCATCATCACTAGCTGGGGCAGACTTGGCCTTCTGGTCCTTTTGGCTTTCTAGACTCTCCGTGATCGTCACAGCAATGCTCTGGACAAACTGATTGATCTTCCACAAACCTTTGGTCTGACAAATTCATGGGATATCTCTGGACTGGATAAACAACCCCTCATATGCAAAGGTTCTACCATCCAAGATGGTGGGATTATTAATGAAAAAACTACATTACATGCACTGTAGGGCTCAGGATAGACACTTGCCTAGACACTTGCGCTGGTCTTGAATGCTTCATCGCTCGATTCTGGCTTTCGCTTCTTTTTCCGGGGCCCAAAAAGGGTTTTCAGAGGAGGGAAAGCCGGCTTCATGGTCAACTCAAACCACAAGACCTGGTCAGGAGCTCTCTGACTCGCCGGTTTGGTGGGAGCCGAGGGAAGATCGGGAAAACGCGACCGAAAAAACAAAGCGTGCACGTTTGAACAGAAGGACGTGTCTATGCATGGGGTCAGGGTGTCTTTCCTGCAGCTGACAGCTGACTGTATTTGGACATCTGACATGTGTCGGGCTTGATCAGCCAACTTGCAGTGATGATAGTGATGCAATCATCAACTCTGCCCACATGTCAGCCACTGCTTGCAGCCAATTGCAATCCCATCTGGACAACTCATGATAACTGGACCGAGCTTTTCGTCAACGTCTGGTCCTAGCCGCCGTGTTCGGTCGACGACGGTCTCTGCCGTGGCAGCCGTGTCGGTGGCTTTGTTCGGGCCGGGCCAGGGCCGGAGCTCATCTTCGCCAGCTTTTTCGACAGGAATGGATCTCAGCATCAATCATGGCAGGCAGAGTGCGTGCTGTTGAGATGCAAGGTATATAGCATATACGGACAAGGCGCATGGACAGCAAAGAAGATACTTCCTGAGAGAGTGGCCACAAGAGTGACCATGCTGGTTCTGCAAATGCGTGAGCAGGCCTTAAATTCGATTGATCAGTGAGTCAAAGAATGTCAAAGAATATCCTCAACATGCCCAATAAAGCATGAGCACAATAACAGTATCTTTGTCTATTGTGCTTGGAACCATTACGCAATTTGCAGAAGAGACAAATTCAAGTCCACTCAATATTCATAAGGTCAATAGTTCAATCATGTTCAACAGTTGATTATCCTGTGGAAAACTAGCCCATCAACTTTCAGAACAAGCACATGTGAGGTCAACGTAGTTATGTCTACTGATTAGGATCCGAAGTGGAATTCGTTGAGATTGGAGGACCGAACCGGCGCCTGCCAGTAGCTCAACATGGATCGAAACCAAGAAAAGCGTCGGGAATGACATAGGAAAGTATGAAGAAGTTACATGGCGTGCTTTTTGATTGCTCCTTTTCTTGCCCTCCCACAATGCCTGAACAAGCTCATAGTCAACATGCTTAAACTCACTGGTGTGCCAGCTATTTTTTCCAAATGCGCCAGTCTGCTTTTCCAACTTGAGAGAGAAAGGGGGTGAACGAAAGGTACGCGTTCGCGACGCGTCACCGCAACAAGTCTCGTGCCAAGCTCTGCTTTTTCCCACCCTCAGATTGACGGGTTATTCAAACGCTTCCTTTGGCTGACTGTCTTGCTGAGCAAGCGGTGACGGTCTCCTCCATCGGTGACCGTGGGCAAGTCCTGGCTTCGGGTGGAGCGACCACGGACGCATCACCTGTTAGATCACATGCCCTTTCGCAATCCTCCACGCCTTCTGAGAGGTTGGTCTTGGGGGGTTTGGGTTAGATAGTTCAGATATATCTTCATATATCTTCATATGATGCACGTAAGTGAAGCTAAACCACCTCCTGTGCCGTTGGTTGATGTTAGGCAACAAAAGAACACCTGCTTTTCAGCATCTCCCAGACTTTCAACCTCTGGGTGATGCATCACCACCGGACGAACCCGAACCGACCGCTGGGCCAGGGCCAGTCTCGGTCCTGTGAGGAGCGGTCGAGCTTCGTCAAGGCCTCACACCGCCGAGACGGACGGAGTGCCGCGGAGACGGGCATGTGACGACCGGGCATGTCTGGTCCAGCTGGGAGATCAAGGGTCCAGCGACACCTGGCTGCAGAGCCCACCTTCGAAATTCTCTGGTGGGTCAATAAACGACTTCGAGGCACTGCAAAAAGAATCATGAGGGGAACCCCCCCAAAAAGGACAACTCCATCATGCCAGAGTTTTACTATTTTTGCTCCCAGTCGCACGGATTTGCCCTGGAGTCTGTGTTGCATCATGTTGCATCCAGGAATTCGTTGAACACAAACAGGTCTTGTTCTGGGATCAGGGCCTTTAGGGACTCATGCCATCTGCCATGCCCGCCAAGCCCAGGCCCATCTCAGGCCTCGTTAATCCGCGAGAGCACACCTTGGACCTGGTGCGAAGGGCGCCGTCGGGGCATGCCGCGGCTCACTTCGACTTTCATCTCCTTGGTTTCCATCGTGGCTCCAGACACGCTTCGAAACTCACGCATCGCGCATCTACCAAAAAAGTGCCTCCAGTATCCAGCAGTCATGCACAAATGCACATCGATCTCGTAGCCATGAACACCATGAAACCGATCTCCGGGGAACATGATTTTTAATTGAATTTTTGCAGTCCGACAACCATGAGGATTCCCCAAGCACGTGTGCGGCATCACGCAATCGGCCATCTGAGAGGTTGGCCTGG